AGTATATATATATATATATATATATATATATATATTCCATGGTCTGTCTGAATACTGGATTCTGATTGGCTGGCAGGTATGCAGTAAAACCGTTTAATGCACAGGTAGTTCCAAGTCAGTTTAATCACCGTTCTATATTAATGCGCTGCTTTAATTGATGCACACTAACCAACACGCATCACTCGCGCGCGCGCGCGCACACACACACACAGAGAGAGAGAGAGAGATCGCTGATTGTGCTGCACACACACACATAAACTTGTTGTCTACGCTTCCCTGTGATTTTTATTAATAAAATAGCCTAGATACTAGATCGCTACATTATATTCCCCAGCAACGAGGTGATAAAATCGCTGTTTTTGAAGTAACGCTAACTGTTTGTAGAGAGACGCGCAGACGCAGCATACACACAACTGTCAGCTCTCTCTCTCACTCTCTCTCTCTCTCGATCGATAGATAATTAATTGAAATACATGCTATAATTCATTCAAATAAATGTGGTCTTACCGCACTATTTAATCTCTGTGTATGATTTGAAGCGGGCAGAATGCGCTAACGTGCTGTAACTGACTAAAATAACTGTCTTCGTATATAATACGAATTTTATATATAAATAACTGAATTCGGTCAAATATTGTGCTGCAAAGAGCAAAACTAGTTTTAACTTGTCTATAACTTGGCAAATGACCATGGACAGTGACGTAACTTAGTAATGACAGGCCCCAGTGCAGGCTATTAGGACGGGCCCCCTGGGGTGTATGTACAACCATACACACATACATATATATATATACACACACACATTTATAAATTCAATATATTATTTCATTTCCATTTAGTTTGTTGAAGTATTAAAATAACTCAAATTAAATAAAACTAAAAACTTAATAAAAGACCTATACAGACATAATAAATTCAGACATAATTTACAAATAATACAAATCAAATGACGGTAGTTTATCAGTAATCCTAAAAGATCAGTGATCTGTGAGCAGCTGACCGACGCCTCCTCTGAGCTGTTGATTCAATCAACGTTAAACCGCCGATGAAAGCGGTAAGAATTACGTGAAACATTGCTGATGTTCAGCAGTAGTGGGGGCTCTTTACATTGTGGCGCTGCAGTGAAGACGCATGTCACGTGACAACATCAACATGGCGGATGTAGTACGTCCGAATTCCATTCATACTACTCGCATTCATACTATAGACGGTTTCAACGGCAACAACATAAACAAACGTTACTGCGCATGCGCGGTTTTGTGGCCCTAACTTAACTTCCGGTACACTTCCGCAAACATTCAATAACAACAACAACAAAGTCCCTCTAGAGTAGATTATTTCTAATAATAAGCTAAATAAATAACAAGTAAATTAGCTAGCAAGTTAAAACTATGTCTAGTCATTATTATTTTGGGTTACCAGTAGAAGAAAAGAACCGTTATTTGGCCAAACTTAAATGCGACAAAGTTACACTACCAGACCCGTTCAACAAAATGTTGAGGCAAGAATGTTTTTCTACAGACCTGTCTGATTTACCGGAGGTCAGTCAGGTACACATCTTTGAATACCTAGTCGAGAAGGAATGTGTATATACGAGGGAGGCGTTCAAGGCATATCGCAGCTTGGATGCGTATAACTATTTTCATTCCGGGAAAGTTAAACGCATTCTAACCTACACGAATGGAAATACCTGTGTTGTTTACGGGGAAATCGAGGCGGGTCAGACGCTTTCAAAGAGCTACTCCGCCTGGATCGTTGCGAGGAAGTCCGGCGAAGTCCAGAGTGGGCATTGTACCTGCATGGCAGGGTAAGTATGGCTGGCTATACTATACAATACAGCTAACGTTACATTTTACAGTAGCATTTAGATAACCTTTTTCAATAAAATGTCTATCTGGATCTGTGCAGCAATGGAGAGGTGTGTAGTCATGTGGGTACGATTTTGGTTACTGTGGAGCAGTGGCGTAACTTAGTAATGACGGGCCCCAGTGCAGGCTATTACGACGGGCCCCCTGGGGTGCACGGTTATGAAGCACATACAAACACACAGCGCTCGTGTCTAGAAGGGAACCCATATAAGCACATTTGTGCCTAACCTACTTAATTTAGACCAACTAAAATCAGTATCTTATCAGTTTCTTATAATAACTTGAACATAGAAACTCAAATTGAAACTCTTTGCGTGCGTCTCTCTCTAACACACGCGGCTGTGCGTGCGCCTGGCCGCAGCAGCCAGAAGTAACAAATTCATCGTGTTGAATTTTACAGTCATCAGCATGTGTTACCTATTGTATTTGCAAAGCACAGAAGGCAAGGTTATCAGAAGCATTGAGTGTTTCAGCGCTGTGGTGCTAAAATTACCGCAATTTTTTTTTTTTAGCACAGTAACCCAGTAATCGCAGCAACCGCATTCCTCTCCGAAAAGCAAGAGACTAGATAAGAAACAGGTCTAAAAATTATCAACACCATGTCCCGAATCATGGCCAACTTTAGCGGCAACAACCACACACAAATGTAATACCCACAAGCACATACACACAGTGGCGCCTGCAGGTGTACGCTCAGACTGACTGAGTACCATGAGCGCTCAGACTGACCTGAGATTTGCCCCGCAAACATTTCAGCTGCTATTATAGGCCTGTGTGTCCCGTATTTCTGTCGACTGAACCCATGCCGTTAATTGTGAATTTATCAGTCTTTTGCACGCCAAAGTCCATTTCTGCGTATAAACATTACGCCAAATAGAAACAGAAAATCGTGCTATACGCACTTTCATGAGATCGGGTTAGACTACAACAATTAATTTGTAGTCTATTTTACAAATGGGAATACAACGAATTCATGACAATATTTTACATTCAAGCTACCCGTAAAATTTTAGTGTATTGCTGGCCGCTTGGTCGTTACTTTAAAAAAAAAAAAAACTTACATTTAACGAACACAAAATGCTCAACGTTTTTCTAAATTAACTTTTTAAAGAGCAAAAGACTGATAAATTCATAATTAATGGCATGGCTGGTTCA